ACGTGCTTGAGTTCACTGCTTATGTGTTCCTGGTCGGATATGCATTGGGCTCTATGATACAGAGTCTTGATGAGAGAATTCTTCTGTGATGGATGGTGGTGGGAATCCGGTTTCAGATAAGCATCCGTATGGGTAGCTTTCCTGTAGACAGAGTGGCTCATTGAACCATCAGGTCTCTTTTTAATTAGGACATCCAAAAAAGGTATTTTGCCATCTATTTCGACTTCCATGGTAAATCTGATGGCTGGGTGTATGGAATTGATGTGGTCGAAGAATTGGTCTAGAGCAGGCCGGCCATGTGGCCAGATGACAAAAGTGTCATCCACGTACCTCTTCCATAAGGTTGGGCGCAGAGTGGCAGTCTGGATGGCGTCAGTCTCAAATTTCTCCATGAAAATGTTAGCTATAACTGGAGAAAGGGGGGAGCCCATTGGGGTGCCCTCAGTTTGTTTGTAGAAAGTTCCATTCCAAGTGAAGTATGTATTGGTTAAACAGTGTCTCACCAGGGGGGGTACCTCAGTGTTTAACCAATACATACTTCACTTGGAATGGAACTTTCTACAAACAAACTGAGGGCACCCCAATGGGCTCCCCCCTTTCTCCAGTTATAGCTAACATTTTCATGGATAAATTTGAGACTGACGCCATCCAGACTGCCACTCTGCGCCCAACCTTATGGAAGAGGTACGTGGATGACACTTTTGTCATCTGGCCACATGGCCGGCCTGCTCTAGACCAATTCTTCGACCACATCAATTCCATACACCCAGCCATCAGATTTACCATGGAAGTCGAAATAGATGGCAAGATACCTTTTTTGGATGTCCTAATTAAAAAGAGACCTGATGGTTCAATGAGCCACTCTGTCTACAGGAAAGTTACCCATACGGATGCTTATCTGAAACCGGATTCCCACCACCATCCATCACAGAAGAATTCTCTCATCAAGACTCTGTATCATAGAGCCCAATGCATATCCGACCAGGAACACATAAGCAGTGAACTCAAGCACGTACACCAAGCTCTTAGGGCTAATGGTTACTCCGACTATACAATCCGCAAAGCTATCACTCAAACCATGAAGAAGAACCCTCTTGAGGAGCCTTTCAAAACCATCACTTTACCCTACATTGCTGGGATCACAAAAAAGATCTCCAAAATCTTGAATAAACACAAGATCCAGGTCCGTTTCAACACATTACATAAAATCCGTGATCTGGTTCCGTCTGTAAAAGATGTGATTCCGGACATACAATACCCTGGTGTCTACAAACTAAGTTGCCTCGTGGTAGTAGTTACATTGGAGAAACCAAACGCCATATCTCGGACCGCATTCGTGAACATAAAGCAGACCTTAAACACGGTAGGACCAACACCTCGGCCGTAGCAGATCATTGTTCTAATTCAGTAGGCTCACATGTCATTGACTTTTCCAAGACGGAGGTTCTTTGTAAGCCATCTGGCTTCCATGAGAGATTCGTTCATGAGGCTATCCACATATACAAGCACAGAGACAATTTCAACCGAGAAGATGGATTCTATCTTAGCAATCATTGGAAAGATTTGATAAATCATTTCAGTTCTTGATTGATTGTTCACGCTTACAGTGGCTTTCAGACAGCATACATTATAAAAAATTTCGTCTCCCCCCTCCTCTTTTCAAAAAAATAGATGGACTAGTCCCTAACCCTAATTTTTTTTATTGTTTTATATATATTTTGTTATTTTGTTGTTTCTCTTCAACGTGACTTTACCGAAAAAACTAAGAATATAACTGTTTATTCCTCAGCAAGAGCCCTTACCACGTCTCACGACTGTTTCACAAGCATCCTGGACCATTCCTCAATTTTGTGTGCATTTGAATAATTATCTCCCATTGGAAATTATAAATATTTTTTATTTTTTAAACACGACTTCAGCCTTCAAGCTAGAATTGTCGAGACATTTTCATTAGCTGCGTGCGTGTAATATTCAATATAACGTGTGAAAGGCACTTTTAAAATTATGTCCATGCATTATGATGATCTAGTGTAAGATCATCATAATGCACCATGTGCTATGACGTCACATGCTCCAGGTTTCACATCAATCTGGTTTATCTCGCTGTCTTCTCACCAATCTTCATATTCAGTCTAAAGCTCTCTTCATCTCTGCCTCTTATTTATCTCCCTTTAATCTCACTTGTCTGTATCTCTTTACGCCTCAGAGAGACATATTTTTTTACTGCTTACTATTTTAATTTTAGCAGGTAAGGCTTACTGAGCTATTTCGACCTTTTACAGAAGTCACCTGGCCACAAATGACAGCTCGCACGTGGACATTTCTCGCAGCCAAAGACTCTAAACCCATGTTTGATTCTAAATAAAGAGTGTAAACACCGGAGGACTCGGAGAAAAATCTACGCGACCATGGGGAGAACAAGCACACTCCAAATTCACAGGCAAGCCCTATAAACTAGGCAAGACCACAGCTCATCGGGCCACTTCAAGAGCCTTTGCCATGGGTGGCTCGCGGTCCGCCAGTTCAGGAACCCAGATCTCTCGTGACGATTGTGATCCGTTGTCTGACGGCTATGATGATGATGATGATCATAATGATGATTGCTGAATCGGTGACTATGGCAACGATTTGTAATTTCAGGGAGCAAGTGTCTGGGAGAACCCGTGTTGAGTAGGTAAGGGGGCCTACGAAGCCTGCTAATCGAGGAGGCCTGGCACATAGCTTGAGTCCCTGTCCAAAAAGTTGCGGGGAGAATCGGAGAGATGGGGGTTGGGGGAGAAGCAACTAGCTGCCCTCCTGCCCGCCTGTGCTCCCACGGCTATGACCGGGCACAAATTGAAGCCTGGGCAGATGCTTCACGTTAAAGTATGCACGAGCTGTGGGCTTGCGGCTACGTGCCGCCAGCCGCAGCAGACGTGACGCTGGACGCGCGGCACCCTGCACCGACGTGCGAGCGTCGCCGAGGAAAGGGGAAGGGGAGAATCTTTTTTGAGTAACGGTGAGCATGTGAGTTTGAGCATCCTTGATTCGGCAAAAACTCTCCTCTGCCGCGTGTCGATTCCTCTGGGTATACCCGGGACCCCTGCTCACCTCACCTCCTGCTTGTTCTCCACAGAGCCCAGAGGGAATGTTATGCTACTCCGTGCGAAGTCCGCGAATTATTATCACATCCGCCTGTGCTTCTGCCAGAGGACAATTTCCTTTGTCCGGTGACAATTCGCTTGTTTTTAACGAAAACTGCAAAACGCCTGAAACCCATCGCTGTCGTGAAACGCATCCCGCACGTTACAGATACCATAGTCCCAGATCTGATACGTTTTTTTTGGCAACGGCTGTCAAAAACTTTTGTTTCAAGACTTTAAAAAAAAATGTGTATAAAATGTAAGCGAGGATCGTGCTGCGTGTCGGCGTGATTAGTGCGCGTGTTCGAACATGAGTGTGTGGGCGTAAGTGCGCGCCTAATTTGTGTGTCCATTCGTGAGTGTGTTTGTGTGTCGTGTGCACATCTCGTACAAGTTCTCTCGCATGATGGAGGCTCATTCAATGCACTGCCTCATCTGGCTTTTTCATTCCTGCTGGGGGCAGTGAGGGGGCGCACGCGGTGGCGAGATGTTAACTACCTCGCGTGGTACACAGGAAGTTGTGGGCTCGATCCCGACCCTGTATATTTGGAGTTTGCACGTTCTCCCCGTGGTCCTCCGTTTTTTCCCTCCACATTTATAAACATGCGCTCAGAATATTTGACTGCTATGATAAACTACTTCGTTGATCTTACATCTGTGGCCCGGTTGCCTCTGAAAAGGAGTTCAGTGGGCCTTACCTGGCAAAATAAAAAGTTTAGTTTTAGAGTGACATGGCCGGAGAGAGTGCATTTGCTGGTTGGTGCAGAGGTTCGTGGTTCGGCCCCAGCATCCGCCCTGATGAATACGACGCCTAGATCAACCAAAAAAATGCTACACGCCATCTGCTGAACGGTGGACTTTAAACATCCCAAAGTGTTCTCATCTGAAAAAAAGAGGCCGTGTGTGCTGGCGTCATGGCCCAGATTTACCAAATTTGAAAAAAAATCACTGGCAAATTACTCAATTGGGTAGAGCCGCGTAGCAACATCACCCCTTGTGTGAAACGACTGCAGAATTGACAAGGACAGTAATCTTCCGTGACAGCCTTGCACGATAAGAACGGCTCGAATAGCAAATGCACCCGCGATTGGATTTTTTGGAGGATTGTTGGGACCTTTTTCCCAGTATCAAAGTAGGAAAAAATAGATTTTACCCTTTCTGGCCATAAAACAGGAGGCCTTAAGATGTTCGAACACCAAATAGAATGCTTTTGCAAGGAAGCAAGTCTGCATTAACCACACACGGCACTTGTGGTGAAGATGGTGTTTGAACATCTTAACATCTATTCTTTGGGTGATGACGGTCGCTTGTGTTGCGATCGAAACGTCGTTGTTTTTTGTTTATTTTATCATCTTTTGAACCGATCGACGTGGCTTTACCGAAAGACCCAAAGAATATGAATTCCTGCAGTCACGAAAGCAATAGGTCAAGATCTTAACACCGGTTTTATTGCCAGAAATGGGAAAACTTATTTAACATTTTCCATACTGTAGGATTGTTGCTGGGCTGGCTCATAATGCTGAGATGACAGAGGCGATCATTCATGTGAGAGGTTCAATCCAGTGTCTTCTGCAAATTTAGTTTTAAACCACCCTTCTGCTGATGATGGGTGACTGCAATCTGGACACATCGGGCAACTGGTCAAATTTACCAAGTTAATAAAATTCAAGCAACTGTTTATTTTAAACAAAAAAAAATCTATATTTATAAACGCCTAACTTTATCTGCGGCGAACGCTGCACTTCCCGTAGATTTCATGCAGGGGGCGCGTAGGTTTGTACGACGACAGGAGGCGCACGGGACAGACGTTCGATTACGTTTGAATCGATCTGCAGCACGAGGCGATTCGGTGTTGATTCCCATAACTGATTCCCAGAATCGACTTGGCCCCCACCGACACGACTTTGCTATTTGGTTCGCGACGATGACAATATTTTACCATTCTGCCCGCGTGCGCTATCACAATCAACAAGTCGCAGGGACAGACGTTCCAGTACGTTGGTAAGCGCGCAACTTTATCTATCTCTCTATGATGAATAATGTAATAATATAAGATAAACCTTCTAAACGGAGCGTCGGGTGCTTGCGTGAATGCGTCGTTCGTGTGCAAAGGCCGGAAAAATGCTTTTCTGAGGGGGGCACCTACTGCTCCCCCGAACAACTAGTGATTAATAATTTCTCACAGAGACGCTGGAGCTCTTCGTGGGCTCCTGTTGGGTCAGGCCGTCGGCCACAGTCAAGAGGCAGGAACCATCATTCAAACCAGTGGTTCTTAACCTTGTTGGAGGTACCGAACCCCACCAGTTTCATATGCGCATTCACCGAACCCCTCTTTAGTGAAAAATAAAATGTGATTTTTTTCAAATTCAAGACATAGATATGTTTTTTACTGGTACACAAAATGAGCCGTGCATGAACATTACCTTGTTCAAAGAATAAAACCAACACAATGCATAAACTCACAACAAATTACATACCTGGAAATCAATGTGACTTCTGCTGTTGCCTTTGAGAGATCAGTTCAGATATGCGTGGCTTCACCTTGGCAAGTGCCACTCTCATGTCATTTTCACAGCAAAGTCTGTTCCTTTTCTTAGTTTTTATGTCCAGCATCCTCGAAAAGGATTGCTCACAAAGATATGTTGTAACAAATGGTATAAAAAAATCCAGGGCTTTCTTAGCAATAACTGGATACTTGTTCATTTGTCGACACCAAAACGTTGAGAGCGTTGTTGTTCTGAACAGTTGCTGTTGAACCTGGCTCTGCTGAATTTCAATGATTTCGTCGAGGAATTCATCATTGACATCTGCTGTTTCAACAGCAAACGTGAACGGCTGTCTCACCCATGCTGGATATGACTCTCTTGTAGGGAAATATTCGTCGAGAGACTTTGCAAGCTCATCTAAGTGCGTGGCAATTGTTTGCTTCAGTTCCGTGGATACAGAAATATCTCCGATTCCAGACACATCTTCGATCTTACTTGCACAGTCGTCCAGAAGCGGGAAGTTTGCGAAGTTATTGTTCTCTGTTCGTCGTTTCCATAACGGTAGCTTTTTTTGAAAAGCCTTCAGGTGTTCTTCCGCTTCCATGATATTGACTCCACCACCCTGCATCTGCTGATTGAGATGATTGAGAGCTGCGAATATATCAGCCATGTACGCTAAAATGAGAATGAACTCAGGATTTTTGAAGCAATCTGCATGGCAGTGTTGGTGCTCTTGCAAAAACAGGGCTAATTCCACACGCATGGCAAAAACACGATTCAGCACCTGTCCCCGGGATAACCACCGAATATTAGAATGGAGCAGAAGTACCTCAAATTCAGAGCCCATTTCTTTACACAGCTCACTGAAGATGCGGTGCCTCAGAGCACTTTTTCGCACATAGTTCACACATTCCACCACAGTTTTTAATACTTCTGCCATTTTTGGAGGTAAGGTTTTTGTTGCCAACGCATGCCTGTGCAGAATACAATGCGTCACAATGATGTGTGGTGCATCGGCCTTTACTAGCGCACCAAAACCAGACTTTCTTCCCAGCATGACTGGAGCTCCGTCCGTACAAACTGCAGAAACCATATCCCATGAAAGATTGTTGTCTCTGAAGAAGTCATCCACAAGCTTCTTCACATCGGCTGCCTTCGTTGTTGTTGTAAGAGGCTTACAAAATAAAAACTCTTCTTTTATCATGTCGTCTTTCACATAGCGTACAAAAACAGCAAGCTGGCTTAGATCAGAAACGTCTGTGGTTTCGTCGAGTTGAAGGCTGAATTTTGCCGGGCTTGAAATCAGATCCGCGACTACTTGAGCCAAGATGTCTTTACTAAAGTCTTCTATTCTGTCACTGACGGTGTCATTTGAAAGGGGAATTTGGGATAATTTACCTTCGGCCGCTGTTCCGAGTATCAGATTCGCCATCTTTAATGCAGCTGGTTTCACAAGTGTTTCACCAATGGTGTGTGGCTTGCCCTGCTTTGCGATCAGGTAAGCAACTTCGTACGATGCTGTCAGGACGGGTTTGTTAACAGGTACAAACCCTGAATTCAGCAAGTGTTGTGTTCTTGTATTCCCCGTCTCCATGCAGCTTCAAGAAGTGTTCCTTTAGTGTTGCCGGTGCAAGACTAGAGTTGCTCAACTTGGCGTTGCAAATCATGCAGATAGGACGCTCACTCCCATCACGTTCCGTGATACATGAGAATCCATGTTGTACATATTCGTCCGACCACTTTCTTCTTTTGCCCGACATAGTTAGTATGGATAAAATATTAAAGAAATCACATGACGTACGACAACAACAGTCACACGTTGACTACTGAGTACGCACTAAATTCCCCGCAGCGCTGATTGGCCAAGCAGTGTAGCATGATCATCTGCAGCCAGTGATGGCCAAGCGGGCCGTGTGTGTCATCACAAATTTACACAATAATTCAAGTGTGTCCGGACCTCCGTGGCGGGGGCTCTGCCGAACCCCTGAGATCGACTCACCGAACCCCTGGGGTTCGATCGAACCCAGGTTAAGAACCACTGATTCAAACGCATTTATAATGAGTGCAAGCAAGAATGTACAGGGAAGGGAGTTTCGCCAAAATGTAGCAATCAAACTTGATTAGGTGCTTTCGTGACTGCAGGAAATACTCTGTTTTTTTCGGTAAAGTCACGTAGAAAAAAGAAAAAAGAAAATTATATAATAGCATACGACGTTTCGATTGCAACACAAGCAATCATCATCAGGTACAGAAGAGCTAAATTCAAGAGAGAGAGGAAACACATAACCGCAGATATATACACAGACCTTAAGTAGAGGGAATTAACACAGATACACCAGGGGACACGGAGAGAGACGGAGCACACTAAATCAAACAGGGTTTAGCAAAATTTGTAAACTAGATAAAGCAACACAGACGGTCGGTTAAAACACAATGTAGCAATCAAGTATTCAAACCCCGAAATAACACAACCGTAAATTTAACCCAAGCACTAGCACACACACTCGACGCCGAACGGTTCGCAAAAGCATTCAATATAATGAACCTGTAAACAGACGGTGCCTGCCGCTCGCTACGTGATGCCAGGCAGGTTGGTTATCGCTCGTGAGCGTGTACCTAGAGGCGGTCGGCAAGAGCGAGTCGATGTGTGGACACCCGCAGGCCCTCCCACACGGCACGTGTGTGTGTGTGAGGGAGGCCGCTTCGCGTGCCAGGGGTCTGTGAGGACGATGGTTCCTCGCGGGGACCGACTCTCTGGAGACTCAACGGTGGTTCTCTCCTATGGGAGGCCCGGGGCCCTGCTGAAGAAAATCTGGAAGTTTCACCGCTGGTTCAGGGCCAACATATGTTTATGCGTAGCCCTGACCACGAACGCCATCTGTCTCCGTTCTTCCATATATTGAAACGCCACGCCCACCAACGTGCCCCGCAGTTGGCTACGCACGGTGTTAAATAAGTTCAACATGTGTAATCATCATAGGTACACATGACAGAAGTGAGCGCCGGACCCAGAGTGCGAGTGAGCAGCGGAGAGATGTTTTTTATTTCAAGATTTATATCCCAAAGTGTGGGTGCTTCCAGCTCTTGCGAGATGTCTGGCCAGCGTTGGAGAGTCGGTTAATCTAAACTATATATTTTTTTTTAAAAACTATATTTGACCAGGTAAGGCCCAGTGAGCTCTATAGCTCCTTTTTCAGAAGTGACCTGGCCATAACAAATGATAGCTCAACGAAGTGGCTTGTCAAGTGGAAATTTGGAGCAGCCAAATGCTCTAAAACATATGTTGATTCTAAACGTGGAGAGATAAACCGGAAGACCCGACGCAACAACGGAGAGAGAGACATGCAAACTCCAAATATACAGGCGTCAGGGTCGGGATCGAACCCACGACCTCCTGTATCCATGTGCAGGGTAATAGCGCCGGCTGGTGGACAGAAGCGGCAACTGTGGTGAACGGAGAGCACACACGCCGGTGAGGGCATGTACGGGGTGTTGGCGGAGTAGAGGAACTGGGGTTAAGGTCACAGAGGACCCCATCTGGAGGCCCCTGGAACCTGCTAGCGGATTCGAGAAGGGAGCCGTGATCAGGGCGGAGCCAGGCTGCACTGGTAGCATAAAAGGAGCCGAGAGCGGGATTCGGGGCTGCCGGTTCTGGGATTGGACTCGTCTCGTCATCGCTGTCATCTTGCCGCCTTTGTCGCTGCCATCTTCGCTAGATATTGTTGGCTGTCTCAGTCAGCTCCATCAGTGTTACGCAGTTAGGGTTGTGTTTAGCCTAGGCTAGACGACTATGGAGAGTGCAAGGACGAACCTGTGAAGTGTGAACTTGTTAAATAAAGGTGCTTCCTGGAAACCCTTGTCTACTAATCACTGACACTATACATGTGTAATGACAGGGTGACACCAGTTGGCCTGGAGTGGTAATTGCGGTTATGGATGCATTACGTAATGCCTTATTATTGTATCTGGGGTAAAGGTGAAAGGCGGAGTCAGTCGAGAAGCTCCGGGAACCGGCTCGAGGGTTCTGGAAGGGGGCGTGGCCAAAGGTGGAGCTTGGCCGCGCCGGGGCAGATATAAGGAGGACCGAATAAGAGGTTCGGTGCTGTTTGGAGTCCTGGGTCCTGGCTGTGTCGCTGCCCGTCATCATCTCTTCGTTCTCCGACCACGTGGCTGATCTGCGCAAAGACCCTCTCCACCGCTGTCACTACACTAGTCAGACAGCTGCGTAGTTGTATGCCGGCGATGGGGCTGTGAGTGTTAGGATCGCCTATGTGTCGCTGTCCAGTGTGCTCTTAATAAATAAGAAGCCTTCTACCCGACGTGTCTCGGAAGTCGCTCGCTACACGTGTAACGGTGAACTTCTTTCGCACCATACATAGCCAACCGTGCTAATTGGAGGTGCGTACCAGGGGAGGGAGATAATATCTCACCACTGCAGCGCCGCTCAAAATAACCTCTAGAGGGGCTCCATAGAGCTCAGCCCCTCCCGTGGAGGCCCTTCCGCCAGTAGTGGCGCAATCCCGATGGAGACACATCGCCAAATCTATCTCTCCTACCCCTTTATGAAAAAGCACAGCCTACTAACATCCTCAGAGGGGGCCCGTGTTCTGCAAAGCCTCCGCTCTCTGATGGTCGGTAGAGTTTACACCGAGGGAGATCTATGTGAGCCAACGGAGCTCCTTTACAAAAGGAAACGCTCACATTTTGAGACGTCTGCGTCGTGCCTTGGCTCGGCTCTGCTGCGGAGAAAAATACCATTGCGGCCAATCAGAATCCATTGAGTGACTCACAGGGTGTGTAGCGGGCACGCTGATGTGCGAGACAGGAGACTGATGGGGTCGTGGCGAGGGCTATATATATTGGCTATGGAGTCTCTGTTTGGTGCGACAGTATTTTTCACCGCAGCGACACGCATTGCGTTACCTCTTTATGTGCAGGAGTGGGATTGGCCCCAGCATTTGGAAGCAGAGGGAGCAGATAGTGACTCCAGCCGTCATCATCATCTTCCGCACGGCCTGAACACAAGCGCACGCACAAAAACAAAGATCCCCCGTATCGCCTTAACAGACTGTTGGGGCAAGTGCTGTTCGCACCTATGAAGGCTGGTACGGCACACGAGGGGGTGGGTTGCCAACACCACGCCCGGCCACCTTTGTCTCCTTAATGGCGATGTTTACACACCACACCAGGTACTCGTTTGTGAGGCTGAGTCGACCTAGAGGAGGCCCGGGACCGGTTCAGATAATCGCTGCTGGTGAATCGAACTCGGGTTGTCTGGTCCGTAGCACGGCGCACTCACCGCTACACTCTCGCTCACACACACACACAAGTGCCCCTTCTTTCAGCCACGCCGGTCGGTCGTACAGGCGACTGTTGTTGGTGATCCAGCAAGGCGCACAAGTGTGGCTCGTGGTGTGGTCGTGCATTCCTAGCCACCTTTGTCTCCCCTACGCTGATGTTGGTTAAACTCTGGCGCCACCTCCCCACTGCCACTACCATCCAGGGTCAGCGGGTGTGGGTTGTGAAACGATGCTTAAACAAGTTCATGTTAAATTAATTCTAATGTAGGCAAGGGCTTTTCATGGGACAAGCATGACGTTTTAGATTACGGTGAGTTCAAATCTGTTTTGTCATGTTTGGAAGTGTGCATTTCGTGCTACCATGGCTGAAAAGTTGAGATAAGCAAGCAATGTCGCCTCTCCATCCGACGATGTCACGACTGGTCCTGGACTCGGCCCGCGTAACAATCTGATTCGTGGTTAACAGGCAACGCCCAGCAATCGGGTGCTGGGCTGGATTGGGACTGAGCCAGCTCAAGAGGAATGCTCTGGGAACACTCGCCTGTGGATCCCACCCGGTTCAAGCGCCGGGCAGGTACCACGGTGGCGAGATGTTAACTCCCTCGCCTGGTATGCAGGAAGACGCGGGTTCGATCCCGACCCTGACGCCTGCTGTATATTTGGAGTGTGCATGTATCTCCACGTGGTCGCATAGATTTTTCTCAGGATCCTCCGGTTTTTCCCTCCACATTTAGAAAACGCGTTTAGAGTATTTGGCTGCTATAAATGTCCACATGATGAGCCACTTCAGTGAGCTATCATTTGTGTCCAGGTCGCTTCTGAAAAAGAGCTGTACAGCTCCGTGGGTCTTAACTGGTAAAAATAAAAAAAATAGTTTCAGTTGAGTAGAATGTCTCCCAAAACAAAAAGGAGTGACTACATTCTCCACATTTAGAATCAACATACGTTTAGAATATTTGGCTGCTCTAAATTGCCACTTGACAAGCCACTTCGTTGAGCTCTCATTTGTGATGGCCATGCCGCTTCTGAAAAAGAGCTATGAAGCTCAGTGGGCCTTACCTGGTCAAATAAAATAAAGTTCATAGTTCTTATAGTTTAGATAAAAGCGCCAAGTGGTCGTGGACAGGAAATGAGGAGAGACCAGGCACACAGTCTCTCTCTCCCTGGAACGGGGAGGGAGGTGCGGAGACAGGGAGGGAGGAGAGACTGGGACAGGGAGGTGTGAGGGGATAGTTAAAAAACAAAACGATAGTGTAAGAGGAACACGTGAGAGGAGAGTGCAAGAGGGAATTGTGAAGGGCGGCGGGGGAGGGGGTGTGGGAGAGTTCATACCGGGAAGGAGTCACTGAGGTAGCCGAGCAGTGGAGCGAAAATGGCGTAGGAGCAGGCGAATCCGAGGAGCACCAGGCCGATCTTGCCGGGCGGCATTTGGAACTGCGGGGCCGGCACACATCCCGCCATTGCTCGGCTTGTGTCGCAGCGTTGCGTGCGCGCGCGGAGGTGGCCACAATTCATCCATTCGTGCAGTTCGCATACAAGTTACGCATTCGTGGAGGGGAATGCAATTTAGATGCAAATCACCAATTGTATTGAGATGTGTGCAATTAGAGGTGGGTGTAAAGGAGCAGCCCTGCAATTTCCTGCTCACGCCATTGTTGGCGAAAGGGCCTCCACCATAGTGAGCTCTGGAGAACCCTTCTAGAGGATGTTTGGACAAGGTGGGGATACCCACAATTTACCCCACCACACGCGGCCTGCCGATCGACTAACGGCGCTGCACCCATTTATACTGCTGGGCGGGCGGGAATTAGGATTTCTGCCCCGTTGTTTCAACTGTCAACCGGGAGGTCGAATCAATCCGGTGACCTCTGGATTGCAGGTCCTGTGCGATAACCATTAAACCACTGAGACGGCATCCCCGATGATTGACTTCAGTCTTAAGTGAGTATCTGGTGCAGGGTGTAAACCTGGGCCCTGGGGAGACAGAGGCAGCGGAGCGTGCTGACCGCAACAGCCCCCCCCCCACTTGTACCCTACTCTGGCTGCTCACCGACAGCACTTGCCCTCGTCAGTCTGTCAAGGCTATACGGGAGGTCTTTGTCTTTGCGTAGAGAATGGGAAGCGGTGACTTTTTCTCATTCGATAAATAAGCAGTGGAGCTGCACGCACGCACGCAGTTTGTCATCATTAATTGCAAGGATGTGCGCACAACACTCCGTCACGTCCTCTATTAATATGATGCATTACCTTTCTGGCGTGAATCAACACGACAAATTCATCACTATCCGAGGGCATCTAATATCGAAATGTCGTGTTTTTTCTCCCCCCCCCCGCCCCCCTCCAAACTTGCGGCTCCCCATTGCGATGGCTGAGCGACGCTTGCGGGCGCCTCCCTCCGCGCCGCTGAGCTTCTCGCGGCGAACTACAGCGGTGCTGCGCACGTGCGCCATAAGCCCTCGGGTCACGTGTGGCCGTGACCTTGTTCACACGTGCATGGCTGTCGCCAGCCTGCGCGCGCATCGCGAGCTGTGGATTTAAATTTGCCACGCACAACTTGATGGGTTTATTTTTTTTGTACCTTTTGACGCTGTTCAGAGCCCGGCCATTATCGGAGGCAATTACCGACTCATCTTCTTCACCCATCCTGTTACGATACCTTGATACTTATGAATGCACACACACTTTTAACCTAAACACGAAGATCCCCCATGTAGCCCTAACTGACTGTAGGGGCAAGTGCTGTGAGCGAGCAGCGCCTATGAAAGCTGCCACGGCACACGAGGGGGTAGGTAACCAGCACCACGCCCGGCCACCTTTGTCTCCCCAATGGTGATGTTTACACACTGCACCAGGTGCTCATTAAAGGCTGAGTCCACCTAGGTTGGACCAGGACCGGTTCAGATAATCGTCACCGATGTTGTCTGTGACCGGGAACTTAACTCCAGTCACTGCGTGAGTAGCACATCTCGTGAACCACTCCTTAAATACAAGCACACGGTCAAATACGTACATTTACGCAAGCAGGCGGTGTTCATTGTATCTACCCCAATTGATGATTATGATAAGTCTGAAATTGCCGGTGATGATGACAATGATGATGGTAGGTCTGAAATCGTTGTTGGTGGTAGTGGTGACTGATTGTTGATGATGATGGCTATGAAGATGAGACCGAGTCAACCCTGTCCAGGATTAGAACTCATACCCCACCCCACTGGGAGCCCCATAGCTTTGCGAGCTGAGCTAAATCGTGCTCTGCATTCGCAGACAACAAATGTCAGCTCTCTGCGAAGAGGTCTAAATTCTGGGCAACGCAGGCGGGGGGCGAGGGACGCCCGCTGAAGCAGGCGGTCCACACCGCACTACATGGCACAGGCGCCACGCCGAGCGAATCCCATGGCATTCTGTCGGCACGTTGGACGCACAATCCAGAGGTCGCCAATTCGATCTCTGGGGCGTGGCAGTTCAAATACCCCCCCCCCCGCCCTCTTCCCGCCACGGTCCACCCAGCCAGCCTGAATGGGTTCATCGCAATTAGCCGATGGCAGGTCGCGCGTGGTGGAGCAAAGCGTGGGCACTTCTGCGTCTTCCAAGACATCTGGGGTAGGAGGCCAAAGTAGAAACCCAGCAGTGTGGCTATGCGGAGTTCCCTCGAGCCAAGCAAGTGATCGCTCGGGGCTGCACCTTCACCCTTGTCACCTCTGATCATCGCGGAAGTCGGGGCCCTGTCCGTTTGTTACACCATTTGCGTTGCGCAGGCCGACTGGCGCTCGGGGGGGGGGGGGGGGTGATAGAGCCATGGTGGCGAGATGTGAACTACCCCGCCAGGTACGCAGGAGCGCGTGGGTTCAATCCCAACCCTGATGCCCGCTATATAGTTGGAGTTTGGATGTTCTCTTTCTTTCTCCGTGGTCGCGTGGATATTTCTCCGGGTCCCCTGGTTTTTCTCTCTATAATTTAGAATCGACGTGCGTTTAGAGTATTTGTTTGGTGTACATTTCCACGTGATAAGCCACTTTTTTTAGCTAATTGTGGACAGGTCGCTTCTGAAAAAGAGCCGTATAGCTCAGTGGGCTTTAGTTTATATCGACCTCTGTCAGAACAGCAGCTAGGAAGGCGGCACCACGAGCCGAGACGTCAAATACCGCATCTCCCAGCCGCGGGATTTCTCCTGGGTGCAGCGGTGCTTGCGTGGGTCATGCTCTGCTTCCCCGTGACGTGACGAGTATGCCCTGGGACGAGGCTCACTTGGAACACGCGGGGGGCTCTTTTCTGCCTCCTCAGCCGATGAGATTCCGCTCGCCATAATGGCAGCGTCGTAACGGCAGCGTCGAGAGCCGGGGGCAGCATTGGAGGGTTTCCGCAGGTTGCGAGGATTCTACTACGCACTGACACGGTGTGAGTGTGCTGGAAGAGTGAGGAGCAGTGGTGCAGCGGTTAGCGCGCTGCGCTATGATCCTGGCGACCCGAGTGCTCACGACCACCCGAACACAGGTGACGATTATCTGAATCGGTCCTGGGCCTCCCAAAGGTCCACTCGGTCTCAAATGAGTACCTGGCGTGGTGTATAAACAACGCCACTAGGGAGACAGGAGGCCTGGTGTGGTGTATAAACAACACCACTAGGGAGATACAGGAGGCCTGGTGTGGTGTGTAAACAACGCCACTAGGGAGACACAGGAGGCCTGGTGTGGTGCTGGCCACCCACCCCTTCGTGTGTCGTGTCGGCTTTCATAGGTGCTACTCACTAACAGCCCTTGCCCCCAAAAGTTTGTTCAAGGCTATATGGGGGATGCTTGTCTCTGCTTGCTGGGAGGGTGTTACACGTTACAGAGTTTAGTATCTATGGATACGTTTCAAACAAATTAAACTAAGAGCCCATGTCTAGATGAAGCCCTCCCCACATCATGTCAGTCATGGGTGTTATTTAACCATATGTTACCATGCTGGCCTCTAAAGGGTTTATGAAGAGGGACTTGCCCAGGACCGGTCGGTTCAGACACCACTGTCATTAGCCATGGCCAGGAGTTCAACTCGGGGAACCAGGTTCATAGTGTAACGCGCTAACCACTGCGCCACTGACTCACTGCCGATTTCGCAATTGCGGCGAAGCAACGGCACACAGGTCACAATATTGTTGGGGGATTCCAAATGTCTAACAAAGCCTTAATTCTCCGAAAAGGAAGTTCTCTTTAAAACAAAGCATGGGAAGGGTCGCAAATGCGCCGCTCCACACACGGCATGGCACAACGCGCATTGTGCCCCATGCAACGTTGAACACCAACATCCCAGCACCCAGCGCCGACACCACGTGGCACCCACAGGGCCCGAATTTACGGCGAATCTGTAGCCCGGTTTGACTAATAGTCACTAATAGCTTTTCTCTCAAATCCTCCCCGGTATTGATGCCCTCCTTCATTTGATATTTATGCCGCTGCTGCTGCTGCCGCTGCCACGACAACAGCTGATCCTAGGACTCGTCCCCAGGTTGCAAGCTTGCGAAAAAGTGAATTCGTCGTAACGAAGTAATGTGCCTCGTAGCATAAATCGACGTGACTCAAAAATGGAACAATTGTGATTCACTGACGCTGTCAATGTGATCTGCAAGTAGCCTGACAAGAGTTCACTGCATTGTTCATGAGCACTGCTCCATAACAGAAATATAGAGGATGCGCAACATGCTTCTGGTGAATAATTACCCTTCTTCAGAAGTGGGAATTCAGAGAGAATGGCTGAATCATAGTTGGAAGATCACACTTCACGCTGCGGCCCCATAAAAAAAACTGAAGAGAGTTGACGTGAACAATTCCGAATTGGGTACGAGCAGCTTGCTCCACGAGCGGATAGCGAACAGAAAGCGAATCCGATACAATGTGGATTTATAATGCATCGAAATTAAATCTTATCTCAAGACGCCGCAGAGCAATCGGTGTCCATGTGTATTTTGTAGATAGGCAGTCGGCCACAGGCAGAGGATAAAAGGAAGCTTAGAGCCTGGACTTGAACAGCGGCAGGAAGTCGACAACACGGACGGCGGGGGGAAGGGAACAGAAATAAAAAACTTAACTTTTTTTATTTTACCAGGTAAGGCCCACTGAGCTAGCCAGCTATTTTTCGGAAGAGACCTGGCCACAAATGACAGCTCGAAAAAGTGGCTTATCACGTGGAAATTTATTGCAGCCAAATACTCTGAACGCATCTTGATTCTAAATGTGGAGGGAAAACCCGGAGGACCCAGAGAAAAATCCACACGACCATGGGGAGAACATGCAAACTAGAAATATACAGGCGTCTAGGGTTGGTATCGAACCCACGACCTCCTTCATACCAGGCGAGGGAGATAACATCTTGTCACCGCGGCACTCCAGAAGAGAAATAAATTTTGTCATGTGTATCCAATTTGACGGCAGTGAATTATGGGAAAGCAGCTGTCATGTTGTTGGTGTATTTTCACGAATTAATGGAGTCGTGGAATCTGCCAATGTGTGGCTGGTGTCGACTCCCAAATAATGTTTATGTGATTTTGAACATCAAAAAGCTTCAACTAAAATATTATGGGGAAAGTGCACACTATGTATTTTCACTTTCTCACACAGAGACAAGGATCCCCCAGTCTTATCGACTACCGAGGTGAATGCTGTTAGCTAACAACTATTAAGGCCTGTAAAACCTATACAAAGTGGTGTGGCAAACACTTCACCCAGCCACCTTTACCTGTCTCGTGCTCATGTTCAAACAGTGCACCAGGCACTCATTTAATGCCGAGTCAATCTACGGGAGGCCTGGGACGGCTTCAGATACCACTCAGCACTGAGGTGCATAGCCAGGAATCAACACTCAGTTTCCTGGAACCGCTATGGCTCACAGTCTACACCACTTCTCTTCATGCTACAACCAAAGACAAAGCTCCTCTGTATAGTCTTCAGCAGACTGTTGGGGCAAGTGCTGTTAGTGAACTGCCTATGAAGGCCGGCACGGCACACGAGTGGGTGGGTAGGCAGCACCACGCCCGACCGCCTTTGTCTCCCTAGTGGTGATGTTTACCCACTGTACCAGGTACTCATTTGAGGCTGAGTCGACCTAGGAGAGACCCAGGACCGGTTCAGATAATCGCCACCGTTGTTGGCCTTGAGTTGGAATCGAACCTGGGTGGCCAGGTTCGTAGCGCAGCACGCTAACCACCACAGTACCACTCCCATAGTAAAACTCCCAACCAGACAAAAACCTACACGCATGCCTCACATATTCCAATGCACTCATTAACTGACAAAAAAAATAGCCAACGCAGGAGCATTTACTGACACGGAAGTCCACACACATGCTCGGAGAATATTCGTTCTCACATAAAATATAAAGATTCAGCATTTAGCGGGATAGACCTATGGGGTAAGTATTGTCAGTGAGTGCCTACTAAAGCCAGCATAGCGTATAATAGGGTGTTGGAGCCGGTGCCAGACCCAACCTAATTTGTCTCTTCTTTCTCTGCGTTGGCCGCAACACATCAATTATTAATTTTAGGCTAAGCCAACCTAAGGGAGGTTCAAGTCAGGTTCACACAAATGTGCAGAGAAATACATAATTGTGCACACGCACACAGACACGCACACTCATCGGCATACAAAGAAACACCTACACTGACACGCACACTTGCACGCACACGCACAGCTACAAAAGATAAATATCCATGTACAGTATTACGATGCAGAGAGGGTTGGGGCAAGTGCTGTTAGTAAGCACCTAATAAAGCCGAAATGGTGCAAAATGGGGAAGTGTGGCCAGCACCACTCCCGGCCGCCTTTGTCTACACCGTGTTGATATTCACACACGGCAGTATATACCGATTTAAGGCGGAGTAGACCTAGGGGAGAGTCGAGACCAGTTCAGGCATAACACGCCACTGATTTCAGCCGTAGCTGGAAATCAAACTCAGGCAGCGGAGTTTTTTTTTGTTTAACCACAGTGTGGGAACCACTTTGACACTGCTCCTCCTCTCTTACATACACCAAGGTGCTCACACACAACAACAACAACAATCGCCATTCGCCACTAAGTGGCGGTGACGTCACCACGGCGCTTGTGCCAGGCCATGTGCACGTTGAGGCCACGTGAAGTGTCGAACGCCCGCTAGCAGGAGGTCACGGGGCAGACCCAGCAGGTGCCACGGGTCGACTGACATAGACACACGCACACACAAAGATCCCGCCGTATAGCCTGAACAGACTGTTGCGACAAGTGCTGTTAGCGAGCAGCACCTATGACGGCCGGCACATTACACGAGTCGTGTTTTTGTTTGTTGCGGTTGCACCCGATTCAAGAGCCGAATGTCTCACAGGGCTACACCAAATTAGTGAAACTGAAAACTGAAAAACTGAAAAGAGTCGGTGGGTTGCCAGCACCACGTAAAGTCCTGGTCACAAAAGCAAAGTTTGTGGGGAGTAATAGCCATTTTCTGTACTTGTGAGGCATAAGCAATTAGGAAAGAACACTTACTACCCAGGAACAAAATGGGTTTTTTTTGTTCCACAGTGTAATCGTCACTCGTGTTAGCCGTTATAGGGAAATCAACTCGGATCGTCAAGTTTGAAGCGCAGTGCGCTCACAACTACACGCGCACTCACACATACACTCAGAAACAGGGGCGGAGCCAGGGGGGTGACAGGGTAGACAATTGTCACCCCAGAAAAAAATTAAAAATCGAAAATCTGAAACATTCTGCATATAAGTGTACGACACTCGGTCTGGCGGACTCCGTTCAACTGCATTGTCAGAGTGTGTCGCCAACCGATGGCGTCTAGTTCAACAGCCTGACTCTCTAATCATTCTTGACATTAACATTTGTTGAATGTCACCCCGGGCTGAAATCCTGGCTCCGCCCCTGCTTAGAAATAAACACACATTTGGCCAGCATGATTAGTCATTATCTTCTATGATGAAACTAACATGTCAGTAAGAGGTATTTAAATATGACTGATTGTACCAGAAATGCGTTAATAGACATGTATTGTTACATATTAAAGCTGCATAATCCAATTTAGGAATTGTTTTAATATGTGCATCCATTGCTGTGTTGTACCCAGAAACAGACTGTAGGTTCCTCGCCTGTTCAGAACGTTTCGAGTTGAGATTGTTGGTCAAACAGCCGAGCTTCGCTCCCACGAAGCACAGCTCAGCATCAAGGCCCAACCACGATCGTAGCCAGTAATCGCATCGATAAGATCGTGAGATCGCAACAGCTCGCTCGTGGCCTCTGCATCGTTTCTATCCGTCGGCCAGATCCCAAAAACTTGCGCAGAGTTGAGACCAAGTCCTTCAAGGGCCGCACTCCTCTTCACAGTCCCACCATCACCAACCACTGGCGCCTGGCCTCAGGCGTTCCGCTTGGTCCCCAACCTCTGGGCGCCACTCCCAATGCCCGTCCCAGTGACCTGCCCCACCACCGGCCGGCACGCGTGTGTACGTCGCGTGTATGTATGTTGAGCTTCTTTCGCAACGTACGTTCCCAACTGTAAGACTTGCTGGGACATTGAAAATCCTGGCTTTTGTCAGTTGCTTAACAATTCGGCAGACATGCAAGACAACGCAATGCCTTTACACTGCAATTCTCCCCTATTCTGGCATTTTTTAGATAGTCTTCATCCCAAATGACGCGGTCTTTTGTACCTAAGAGTTAGCAATCCTATGACACTTGTGCACACGTGAATTCGCACGCCAGGTCAAGAGGTTATTGCGGTCAATGAAACATGACTCTTTCGATCCCTAATGATACGTACATTGTCTCAGCTGTCGCCGAGTCTCACTGCCACCACCTGGCTTGAGGTTGCTCTCTCGTTCCACAAGAGCAGCACGACTAATCGTGCGCACACTTTCCAGCGTCCTGCGACGTGGTCTCGTTCGAAGTTATACGCTGTTGTATGTACATGTATGTTGAACTTCTTCCGCACCGTACGTAGCCAACCACGCTAATCGGAGGTGCGGAGGGAAGGACAGCAAACTAAACGCAAAAATCAGTTTTAAATAAATTAGTTTTAAATCTCGATGATTTCAAAGTGCATGGCTCCAGTGGCTTCCTAATATCGGAAGGAAAAGCATTCCAGCCGGCCACAGAAGCACATCCGAAAGCACGTGATGCGCTGACCATCTTTGTTCGATGGCTAGCCAAAAGCTGCTGTGAGGGTAACCGGAGTTTGCGTGATGTGTCACGTGATGACACGTGCCCCACTCGTAGCGACCTCCTGATCGCGCCTGCCACGCCAGTCCTGCCTCCAGATGCCCTTCCCAACGTTTGATAAAGGAATTCAAAACATTCCCCGCATATGGTTACGCCACCATCCCACTATCATTCCACGTCAGCTCCGGGTTCGGAGGTCGTCAGTTAACGTGTGGGTCCACTTCCTGATGTCACCCCCCCTCCCCCCACCATCAGCATTCCCACATCCGTCTTTGTCTTCCTTTTGCCTGTCTGGCTTCGATGTTTCCAAGCAGAAGGTATGGCAGTCGGGCTCCCCGTGAGCCCCGCACCACGACCGTCACCTCATTGTCGCGCAGGCGGGCGTTACCGTGCGAGCGGCCGTCTAACGCATGACGCGTATGAGGCATCCCACCTCTGTGCGATCCGCCAACCCCAACACGCGCGTTGCTGCACCTACGTAGTGGAAGTGTTGAAATCGCCGCTCTGTGCTTGCGTGTGAAGGCGGCAATGTGCTCACGAGCTAAGGTCCACTCTCGAGATCTGCTGGCTACGACAAGAGGGCTTCAGGAGAGAGTTTGTGTAGTTTTGCTATTCCTCCCCCATTAAGGTAATGCAGACTGCAGTGGTTTTACTATATGTATCTATAGTTTGGGTTGCATGGCGACAATCACACTCCCGTGGCTTGTCTTTAACGTAGTGTATCTCAATGGGTCCCTATGTATTTCCCGCCCACCACTGATTAGTACGGTGCAAAATAAGCTCAATATACATGCCTGCTATGAGTCTCTATGGGTTTACTCTGTCGTCCATATTTTGCGATGCATGGCCACAATGGTGGCTCGCCTCTTTCATTTTCCTATTCGTGAAGGAGACGTGCCCATCGGCCTGGGGGGTGGGGGGTGGGGGGGGCTCAGACTCGGACGCAGAATGAGCGTGCGTGTCGGCCTCGGGACTGGGAGCGACCTCTGTGTGCAGGAAGATGGTCATGGTCGGACGCAGGAAGCTCATGGAGGCCGCGGTGGTGCACACGAGCAGCGACGTGATCGCGATGGTCGGGACCCGCAGCAGCTTCACATAGCCGCCTGACTCGGGATCCGACTCGGTCACTGCGGGGTGGGGGGGGGGGGGGGGGGAGGGGGGAGGATACTCGTGGTGACACGGCGCAACCGTCGTTCGGCAGCGTCCCCCCACAACCTGGGGAGTGTGGAATTTCCACCGTTTGGCTGGGGGCTGCCGAATTAAATTCAGCGCCATCCCACGCTCGTTTGAGCAGGAGCGCGGTTTTACCGTTGAAATGCTTTACAGCAGCGGTTGTGGGGAACCATTTCCTTACCGAGTGCTGAATAGGACTACTTTCAATTAAATACCGCTGGCGCGTTCCAAATCAACAGGCATCTCGGTCACTGCAAGGTGCCCCTTGGAGTCGCAGAAGTGACTGAGCGCGGCGCTCAAATTAGAAACTCCACGTGCTTGTCAGGTAAAACATATCCCCCCCCCCCTGCTGGTCACCGATCGGTGCGGCTAGAACGCTCGCAGCGACGGATATCATTTGCTGGCCCGCCGCGAGCCATGCCAACGGAGTCGCAGACGGCGCGGTGTCGCGACCCGTGGCTTACACGGTAGAAGGCTCACTGTAACCTTCTGGAAGGTGGATTACTCAATCGACCGTTGCACCGTTACACCTTTGCAAAACCGGGTCCTTCGCGAGGGCTCCTACACATACGTTGTCGGCGGCGGCGGCGGCAACGTCGGTGGCACACCGCAGCAGTTTGCGTATTTTTTCATTTCTCTCAGAGGCTCGCGGTTCGATCGTTTTCAGAATGTGTAGCAGCCAAATGCTCTAAACGCGTGGTGTTCATTCTAAATGTGGAGGGGAAAACCGGAAGACCCGGAGAAAAATTCCACGTGATCATGGGGAGAGAGCCATGCAAACTCCAAATATACACCAGGCGTCAGGGTCGGGATCGAACCCACGAGCTCCTGCATACCAGGCGAGGTAGTTAACATCTCGCCACCGCGGCGCCCCATTAACACTGGGGGTGCATACACCAAAAAGTACTCGGTGCCGTCTGCTACGCAGTGGAAGGTTTAAGATCCCGCATTGTAATTAAAAAATTAAAGGGTGGGTAGGCCACGTGTGCCAGCATCACCGTCCAAATTTGTGAAATTCGACAATTACCTGAAAATCACTCAATTGGGGCCATACGAAGACTAATGCCCCAGGTCACTCTTTGCAAATGAGACTCTATCCTGGTCTCTTGAGTTCTCCTGACCTAATTAAAACCGAATAGACCCGAGAGCTGAGAGGCGCGTTGAACATAACCCACCGCAGAGTACGAGCAGCATCACCTCATCAACCACACCCTGGCGTTGCACGCTAATGCAACCTCCTTCGCATACACGCAACGAAATAGATTACATTTAGACTTGCAAATGTACGTGGTGTAACGCGGCATGCCCTATTCATGACCATCCCCATGTTTATTTCAGCACGCGCACTAAACACCTCAGCAGTTGTTTGTGTTAATACGCCAAGCGGGTGCACATGGACACAAAGATAAAGATCCCCCGTATAGCTTCACCAGAATGTTGGGCAAGTGCTGTTCACGGAGTAGTGCCTATGAAGGCCGGCATGGCACACGAAGGGGTGCGAGGCCAGCACCACGCCCGGCCACCTTTGTCTCCTTAGCGGCGATGCTTAAACATCGCACCAGGAACTCATATGAGGTTGAGTCAACCTAGGGGAGGCCCAGGATCAGTTCAGATTATTATAACTGCTGTCTGTGGCCATGAACGGGAATCAAAGTCGGATGACCGTGTTCGCAGGGCACTGCGCTAACCACCGCACCACCCGCATACACTCGCGAAGAAAAAAATTGCCCCGAGTCCAGCTTCATATTTCATACGAGAGTGCAGTTAATTAAGGCCCCAATATAATTTGTCACTGCTGCTACGAGGCATTGGTTATTAATGATTGCACTGGGATCCTGAAATTACTCAGCAACATCAAAACTCGTCGTGACGTGAGCTATAATAAGGTTATTAGCTGGCCGGCAAATACCACAATATCACACCCTCAAAATACCGTACTCACAGCAGGGTTGGAGGATAATTTAATTCAGACTTAAAACTCTCCGCAACATTTGGAAACGAGAGATACCCAGTCGGTCTCAGTGGATTACGGGACTCACTTCCGTGCGGGGGCCATGCAGAGACAAGCAAAAAGATTTGTTTTTGGAATCGCATCAGTTGGCTACGTACGGAGCGAAAGAAGTCCAACGTACAATCGACGTCTGGATTCTCCACCAAACGGAGTTGACGTGACCCAAAAAATGCCCGGGCTTCGTTTGGGTGAGAGCCGGCGTTGACGCCACGGATTCATTCCGCGGCGCCGTTACCGCGACCGCCTGCAGCGCCGCTGCGCACCGGTCAATTTCACCAAAATTCCCGCTACGATTTTATCCCAACCCCCACAACCCCCCCCCCGCCGTGTAAGCTTCTGCGGGCTCTGTCTCTTATCGGGGCAGGCTTACCTCGCAAAGCCAGGCCTAATCTTACGTGTTTGTGTGTATATATGGACATATGTCTCTCTCGCAGCACGGCCGTTTAAAAGGCGCCCCATGGCACAGAGCGGGTGAAAGGAACCCGCGCCGACCTCGGCTCCCCCGGGCGGCACCGAGGCGGAGGAGGCGAAGGTCACCGCGGGGTTCCTTACCGCAGGCGACGGACGCTCATACGGACGGCGCCCGTTCGCCGACCCCACCGCGGCTGTGGGGTTGCCACCGGTGCCGGTGTTCCCGTTTGAGGGCAGCTTTCCTGGAAAAATCCGTGAGTCTTCCCAGGGCGTTACATTTATTTCATTGGCTTCTCCAGGAGTTCCATTGGAATTTACCTGCAGTCTGAGTGTAACTATTACTATTTCTGGCTTTGATCGTTGTTTGTTTTTCATTTTATCTGTATTGCGAGTGTAGTTATTGTTAGTATTGGCTTTTACTGCATTTTGATTGGATTGCACCGGTGCTTGTGAGCGTAGGTTTTTAATAATTTTTGTTACGTTAGGCGATTCGAAGAATTTCAACATGAGCGGTGCTTTATAAAAAAAATGAACGAATCTATTATTACACTAAGTAACACGATTTTTGTTCCTGGGTAGTAAGTGTTATTTTCTAATTGCTTATGCCTCAAAAGTATAGAAAACGCCTATTATTTCTCACAAACTTTGCTTTTGTGACCAGGTCTTTATGTGAAGGAAGGACACACATGCACACCACGTTTTCTCATTGAAAATAGGTTCAATTCTAAATATCACTGTCCTGGTCACAAAAGCAAAGTTTGTGGGGAATAATAGCCATTTTCTGTACTTTTGAGGCATAAGCAATTAGAAAATAATACTTACTATTCAGGAACAAAATATATATTTTTTTTTGTTACAGTGTTATCAAAATTACTTTGTCAGTTGCATGACGGTACACCAACTAGTGACGGGCGCCATGAGGTGCGGCTCTCCCCTCGTCCGGTCTCGAGAGATTCTTCTCCTCCTTCTCCTCCTCCTCCCCGTGACGCTCGCCAGAGGTTTTTTGCTCCTTAGCTGTGGCGACCCCCCGTTTGCTGTGACAAAACTCCAATCGATGGACCGTCCCACGTCTCCTAACAATGTACGTATGTATACATGGTGGACTTCTTTCGCACCGTTCGTAGCCAACCGTGCTAATCGAAGGTGGCCTAAGCATCCATTCGTTTACTCAAGAAAGCCTCAAGTGAGTCTCACGTTTTAATCTGTGGTCATAATAATTATGCCCACAAGCCCCGAGTAGACGTGTTACTTGTCAGTATCGCATGACGCAGGAAATGACCGATGTTTCAAAACTAAACTATAAACATTTTAATTTGGTCCACTGAGCTGTACAGCTCTTTTCTAGAAGCAACCTGGCCACAAATGATAGCTCAACAAAGTGGCTTATCATGTGGACATTTATAGCAGCCAAATACTCTAAACGCATGTTTTTGCGCAGTCTACAGTTGCATATAAAGCGCGTGTGACAATCGCGTGTGACAACAGAAGGTGATCACATTTCTAAGTATATTTCCTCACCAATCCGCACTGACCAAATGTGGTGAAGTATGGTCAAATGCCCTCCCACGACCCGCACAGAGTGGGTAGGCCCTCATCCAGCAGTGGCCTGACAATGGGCTGTATGTGTATATGCGGCGTGCATTTATTGGTCACATACATACACTGGGAGCACTAAAATAATGCCCCTTCCGGTGGTGCCAGTAGTCCCCGTTCCTGCTCGGGATGTAACTCCCCGATTCCTTTCCCGCCATTTGCGCATGCGGGAGGAAGCCCAAGTGACCGGGAAGAAAACCCAACCTCATAGACGAGGCGATAATTCGCACCGACATCCTCCTACATAATTGGTCGGAAGTGTGAATGGAAAATGGAGAGTTGACGCCGGCCCCACCGCCGTGCACAAAAATACCGCGTTGGGTGCGGGCGGCGAATTGGCCAGGGCGCGTTATTGCGAGATGGTCGTACACATGGCGTCACACTGCACATCTACAGGCCCCCTTGTAGCCTCATAATAATTCGTAATAAAGTTTATTTTTTTTGGGTTGGATCGCGTAGGTATAAATGCGTCGTTAACCATCCGCCACCCAGTACTGCCAAACAGTAAGGGTTTCTCACGTAAACAAAGCACACCGGTGTGTTGGAGAGTAAATCCACAACACTTACAATTCGAGGACGACGCTTCGCTGGTGATTACATCCAGCATCATCGGGCGATATTGCTAGAATTGTAGCCCTATACCAATGCTCACGTGCTTAAGTGAGCATTGTACACACTTCCAATTAGCGCGGTTGGCTGCGTACGGTGCAAAGGAAGTTCAACACACACACGTACGTACATACATTATACGTCCTTTCACACAGCGAACCGCAACCGCCTACCCAGCCCACACGGCAGGGCACCAAGAAGGCATTTGAGAACTGCCATTCGGCTTTGATGACGCGGACAGCTCAATCATTCTGAGGGTGGAGGGAGGGAAAGCGCTGCCCCTTTCTAAAAAGAATCCTCCAATTTTCTGAGACGTGCCGGCAATGAGCGTGCATCTTCCGTCATTATCCTTCACGTGAGCGGCACAGTCGGCTAAATGTATTAGCCGCCACATCTCTGCGGCCAGAGTTGCAGGCTTTGGGGAATTACGGCCTATCACGTTTTGACGAATTCTCTCGAAGAATCTTGCCCGCGTGCGCGGTTATAATTGGCGCGGTTTTCAAGGACATCGGAGAGACATCCGCATACATTTTTAGCTGAGGCACAGGCTTCGAAAATGTTATTTGTTTTATGAAATAAGTTTCTTGCATAAAGAGGAATTGGAAATCACATGTATCTGCATGCATCTCTTCGGTGAGACGTGGTTGGTAAATGTTCATTTAGAAACCAGTAGAGGGTTAATTGAAGAGATGTTTCATTTTTCTATGGGAGACATGGGTAGCCCATAGTGCAGAAAGTAGGTTGCTGACCTACCCCTGAAAAGTTTGAGTGATATCCCCTCGTGTTCGGGGGTGTTATATGGGCACTCCAATTTCCACCGACTTTGGTCAATCATCCAAAATAGCATCCTCTTGTAAACAGAAACATTATTATGAACTCAAGCATGATCACTTTGTCCTTCGCATAGCTGTGTATTTCCGATAAAAATGTTGTCCGTGATGTCGTGATAGAAAACGCAAGAGAAACACGTAAACTCGACGCCTTATACGCGACTGAAAATAAAACATACAACAAAAATTAAGTGCTAAATGATGATCCACTGACCAACATTAACTTATGATAACCCTAAATTGAACACGAGAGCTTTCGCAACCAATGTTATTATTCCTAATGGATTGTTTCGTGTCAAATTGGATTCGGAGAATGTGCGTGCAGTGTTCCCTCATTATTCACGATGAGGGGATACGTTCCGGAGACCCTCGTGAATAGCACACGCCACAGATAATGATATTGGCCTCTTTCATTAATTACTTTAAATAAATACGTAAATAAGCTATTAACTATTCTAGATTTGAAGCTTTCGTGACTGCAAGGATCCATACTCTTTGGTTCTATTCGGTAAAGTCACGTAGGTGAAAAAAATAAAACAACAAAAATCACGACGTTTTGGCCACAACACATGTGGCCTTCTTCAGGTGAAGGAACAGCAGCGGTCATTGAAGCGCTGTCGTCCCGACAGTTCTGTTCCTTCACCTGAAGAAGGACACTTATGTTGTGCCCGAAACGCCGTGATTTTTGTTATTTTATATTTTTTTACCTACGTGACTTTACCGAATAGAACCAAAGAGTAAGCTATTAACTACGTGAAAATGATCATAACACATTTAAAAAAAACACTAGGTAAATAAAAATGAATATTAAAATATTAAATAATAGTATATAAATTACCTTTATCGGATCACTTTATCTCATCTCTTTCTTTCTCCCACTCTCTCTCCATGCGGTAGTCATGTAGCATTCCAGATGCAATTCGCGGATAGCCAAAATTGCAGATACCAAGTTGTAAATAACAACGGAATACCGTATAAAAACATAAGTTTGTTCATACGGTATTCCGTTTGTTCATCACGGGACAACTTCATTCATTGGCCGTGCCGGGTGGAGGAGGGTTTACAACTCAAAATTTTATTTGCATGGCAATCCGACTCAAACATCTATCGGAATTATGCTGACTCACTCATAATAAGTCAACACTAAGCTTTCACCGAGAACACATTTTAACTTTTTCAAATATAGCTTCGTTGCTGTCAATCTAACATGGTGGGCGACCTTAACAAGGTGTTTTACAGTGCGATGCACCTTGCATTCATAAAGCATCCAAATCCAAGGAGATGTTATCTCCCTCGCCTGCTCCGCAGGAGGCCGTGGGTTCAATTCCAACCCTACGCGATTATTACCGAGGGCAACGGACGTTCACATAGCCACCACCCGTTCGCTGACCCCACTGTGGCTAGGGGTTGCCGCCTGTCCCGGTTAACCCAGGCGTATCCTCCGTTTGAGGGCAGCTGTCCTGGAAAAATCTCTGAGTCTTCCCAGGACGGTACATTCATTTCATTGGCTTCTCCTGTAAGTTCGATTATAATTTACCTGTACTGTGAGTGTAACTATTACTGTTTCTGGCTTCAATCGTTGCTTGTTCTTCATTTTATCTGTATTCCGAGTGTAGTTATTGTTATTGGATTATTCTTGGACTCCTCCGGTATTGCCCTCCACATTTAGAAACACGTGTTTTGTTTATATTTGGCTGCTACTATAAATTCCGGCACGTGATTATAAGCCACTTGGATGAGCTATAATGCGTGGCCAGGTCACCTCTGAAAACGAGCTAATCACTCGGTGGGCTTTACCTGGTAAAATACAATCGGCTAGTGTCGCATAGAAGTAGTGAGCAGCATTAGACTGGGCTAACAATGCGGTGAAGGAAAGTGTAGGGGGTATTTGAGAAACGACGGCAGAGCATGAGAGAACAGGCGGTGATCATTTTGAATAAACACACAGTAGGCTTTCGCGACCAATATCATCTATAATACAAGTGTTTTTTGGGTTAGATCGCGTAAATATAGGAATGTGACTCCAATTTTACTTCGGGAAGTAATTTAACAGGCAAACGGTGTGTGGGTGTTGTTATAAATTAGGAGAAAAAAACCACTAACTTCTACCACGTAGCTCCTTGTAACGGGTAATTATCGCTAAGTCAAAAAGTACAGCCTCAAGAGTTTTCCAGCATACATGTGTAGTGAGTCCAACTGAGTCGCAGACGTTTCTTTTAGAGGCAATACATTTATTGTAACACCGCAACACAAAGGGGTAACTGCCCCTTTACCAGATATATCTTAGGGTGGTGACCACCCAGCTAACTACACTATACAGAGGAGTTATAGCTACCAAGGGTCGGACCCTCACCCGGGTCTCCGACCACGTGGTTGCCTCGTAAAACCAAAAGCATCGAGCTTGTCGAACGAAGAGACCCCGGTCCCTCTCAGGAACCCGCCATATATCCCCCTACGATCGGGGCCGCTCCGCCCTTGGCTCCGCCCGCCTTCTCGAGCATTCTCGTTCCCTCTCGATCCTTCTCAAGAGCTCTCCCCGGACACGTGATCACCCACTAGCCCCCCCACCTGGGGCCCCCTGTGTGGACACTCCGGTTCACGTACGGGTCAACCAGAGTGTCATGGCCTGTGGCAACCCTGCCCCTGGGCTGACGCTCACACACTCTTTCTCGTGGGAGCCCCCCACCACACGCTGTACGGGCTGCTCACACTATCCCCAGTGCTCGCCAAGCCCCGCTAGGGCTGGTGTTACACACAGCCACCCACACGGTGCTGTCCACGATGTAGGAGCATTGAACGGCACGGCCCTTCCGGGCTGGCACCATACAGTGATATCCCCGATGTCACTACACATGCATGCTGTTGGCGACTACTGTGAAGAAAAGAAAACTCTTGAAGTCGTACATGCATTCCCAAGACTACGCTCCCTGCCACGCCGCACAGCACAGCCACTCTGTAGTTCCGGATTAAGAGATATATACGTAATAAAGGGGCCCTAAATAAAAAATAAAACACATAAATATGAAAACACAAATATTTAACTTCCACAGTAAAGTAATTGTATTTTTTCATTAGCTATACGACAAATCGCTAACCTTAAACACCCAGTCGTTCGTCAAAGTTGAAGGCAGTATAGTACTGTACTAATAGAGCAAGTGCAGAATCACTGAACCGGAATTAATAGCTTGATAGCATTTAGCCCAGGGCCCTTGAGAGTGTGCAGCCCGTAGCTACATATGTAGCTACTTTTGCTACTAGGATAATCCGGCACTGACAATCCGTCGTCCCCTGGCGTGCACACGAGGCTCGCCGGCAGGCGACGCATCGCCTAGCCGGCGCTTGGGCCACAGGCCACAGTACGTGGTTATGTTCACATCTCGCTGGTGTTTACACTGGGCAAGGAATGAACGTGCATGCTGAAGCTCCTTTCACACCGCACGCAGCCAACCGTGCTAACCGGAGGTGGAATCCGAGCCAATTACCTGGTTCAGGCCAGTGGGCTAAAACTTGGGGTGCAATTTTGCACGTAGATGACTCGCTGTAATCGCGCTAATTTTTCATAATCTTCCGTCATGGTCTTTAATGGGATTCCCACCGCCGCGCTCCCTTCTCTCCCCGGCCGCATGGAGGAGGATGCCCTTGGGCTGCGGTCACGCTCCACTACGTTGGAGATATATACGCATGCTGCCACCCTCGTGTTTAAATCCGGGAACAAACGTTTTGTAAGTGATCGCAAAAATATATATATACCCCCCCACCCACACATAAAAAAATCACTTACCCAAGCATTCCCAAAGTAATTTCTATTTATAACCAAGACATCCTTTTGCTGAGTGCCCAGAAATCCTTGCCAATGTCTTGTTTTTAGTCTTTTTTATTTATCTGCGGTAGCGGTGGCGGTGGCTGCGCTGCACGTGGCTGCCTGTAATCCAGCACTGCAGAGGCAGCAGCAGCGAGGGTTGGTTGATTATCGCACAAATGTTGCAAAACTCAACGACTTGCCAAGAGACGGCCGTACAGTAGAATGTGGACTGATTTCCATCTGTTCCATCAGTACGGGATTGAGTGTTGCCCCCTCGCACACGTGGGTTTTCTCCGGGTGCTCCGACTTACTCCCACATGTTTAAACACTCATCAATTTGCTGAAATATCTTACTATGTAAGGGACTGTAGAGCTTAGGCAATTGTTGGCACCGGCTCACCGCATGGCTGCCTTCCCGCGTGGCTGCGATTCCTCGCGCCTTTGAGTCGTTCTCTAGCTACCAAAAGGTGAGCGAACATCGTGCCGCATGTCGCAAGGGGAAAACACAATTCCTGGTTCTTTCCAGGAATTATCTCTCATTCAGCCCTGGAAAGCACCTCTGCACTGTTCCTACATGCCTGGCTTATGTGCCTTTCAAGTTAAACATGCCGTTAATTACCCAAGTGGCTTACGGTAATTTGAACATGACTCACATTCATTGTGTCTTTGTTTATTTACATATCAGTAGCTTTCCGTAACTTCATTTGTACTATTACTATAATCGTCTCTAAAAGAAACTGCCTTGGCCAACTTGCTCTACAGCAAATGTATTATTCAACATTGATACATGTTTGTCCATTGTGTTCGATTTCCCACAGGACACAGTTATTGTTGCTCTGATTTCTCTTCGCTTGATCTCTGAACTTACTCATAATTTGCTCTAATTTTGTAATTTTGGCAACCCGGGTCACTCTTGCAAATGGGACCCATCGGGGTCTCTTGGTTTCTCACCTGGCTATGCAAACGCAAATTAAACAAGCGCCTTGCCACCCACCCTTTCTCACGGTCCCCCTTGAGTGGGCGCTGAGGTGGCGAGATGTTATCTCCCTCGTCTGGTATACTAGAGATCATGGGTTCGATCCTCGACCCTGACGATGCCCCTATATTTGGAGCATTGAATGTCTCTCTCTGCCCGTGGTCGTGTGAATTTTTTTTCCGGGTCCTCCGTTTTTTTTTCCCCTCCGCATTTAGAAACGTGCGTTTAGATTATTTGACCGCTATACATTTCCACGTGACAAACCACTTAATTGAGCTATCATTTGTGGTGAGGTCGCCTCTGAAAAAGAGCCTACATAGCTCAGTGGGCCTTACCTGGTAAAACTACAGATTGAAAACTTATTTCTTAAAAACTATTTTTTGTGGTTAGTTTGTTGTCCCCCCACCCTACCCCACACACCTCCGATTAGCACGGTTGGCTATGTACGGTGATGAGTGTGATTGTAATTACCGGCAAAACGTCGGAATTTATAGGCAAGGCCAAACGATAGAACACAAAACACAACATAATCAATAGTGTCGTTGTGAAGAACATCAGTAACAAGAGTGAAGCTATGGATTACATCACATGAATATGAATGTGTTGTTAAACCCGCCACCACACGAAACACCCAATTAGTAAGGTTTGTCACGTAAACAAAACGTGCCAATTTTGTTACTACTTCAGCACGCCGGTGTGTTGCACAGTAAACCCACAACAGTTACAATTCAAGTACGACTTTTCACTGGTGATTACAACCAGCTTCATCAGGCTAATCACCAGCGAAACGTCGTAGTAGAATTGTAAATGTTGTGGATTTACTCTCCAACAAACCCGTGTGCTGAACTAGTAACTAATTGGCATGTTTTGCTTACGTGACAAACCTTACTAATTGGCTGTGTCGGGTGGTGTCAGGTTTAACGACACATATTCACATGACCTAACCCAAAAAAAACCTCTTATGGAAGTTCAACATCCATACATACATACAGAAAATCTCAATAGAGTTTGTGTATAGCCCAGCCCTGGATGTGTGCAAGGCATAGCGTGCCCCTCACCATCACGGGGCAGGACGCCCAGGCTTAGCGGGACGAGGAGCAGCAGCAGGATGGAGCCGAGCGCCACGAAGGGCACCTCGTAGCCCCACGCGTCGTACAGCAGGCCGCCCAGGGGTGGCCCCAGCAGCATTCCCACGCCGTTGAAAATCTCCACCATTCCCTGCGCCCCTCAACACACAACACAGGGTTTAGATTGCGCTGGTCGCGTTCGTCCGCGGAGGATTTTAACGAGTCTCAACATTGCTTCGTTGAACCGGGTGAGTGTAAGCCTTTCCCATTCCAGGACGACTGAAAATTGTGGGGTGGGTTTCCCATTCACCGCTGAATCTCGGAACGCGCAAACGGTGAGCGTTAATTTTATTTAGAGAGGCGTAGCGTTATACTCACCGCAGAGAACTGTAACGACAGGACCGCACTCTACGTTAGCTGCCGCTGTGCAACACGCCCTTCCGCATGGCCTTTTACATACGCGTACGTCATCGGAGCAGAATCCGAAGAAAGACCGATGACATACACGCCGATGACGTACACATACATACGTGTACGTCATCGGCGTGCTTGACCTGGGCCATCCAAAAATGGCTAAAGCAAAATGGCAAGACGAAGCAGAGCAGTGAAGTAAAGCAATGAGAACATGAATAAAGTTCAACCGATCGAATGTAACTCTACACCCCTGTGACATCACCTGAGTGTGAGGCTCAATCGATCGTTCCGTTACACGTGTTGAGCGATTCATTGTGAAGCCACCTTTTACTTTCGGTTGAGATTTCCGCAGTCGTGCCGTACAGCTCTCCGGCGTGATCTCGAGTTGCTGCCGCGTGCCGTTCGGAAATCGATAGAAGCTCCCGGCACGTGGAGCAAAACGTCGGACATCGCGCGGCACAACCCGAAAACTCAATGGAGAGAGCCAGCCACCTTGAGTGTATGCAGCAGCAGTGCAAGCAGCGTGAAGCGTAATTAATCAATCGGCGCTTATTTGTTACACGGAAAGTCCCGTGTAGCCAGTTGACCAGCTCTGGTTTGCAAGGGAGATCCGTGGTGCTATCAGCATAGGACAAGAACAACAATATCAGAGTGATGCTCACAGAGGAACGTCCGACAGCGGAACAGAACGCGTCAGAGGTGCGGGCAAAAGAATGTGTGCTTACGGAAGAAAAAATGAGCGCTATTCACAACATGAACAACGGACGCACACTGCACCAAAAGCAAGGTACGAGAAACAAGTAACGAGGCGATGGGAAAGGTCGGAGAGGAGGTGTGCGCGAGGCAAACTCAATCGGGCGAGTAAAACAACAACAACAACAACAAGGGGAACGCGAGAAGCAACAGCCAACGGATTTAGGTGCAGGTGCAGCGACCCAACCGTGCAAGGGCACAGCATCTCGGGGCATCGAGCGAGAGACGAGAGCGTGGAGCGACCGTCTGCCCGCACGGGGTGTGGAACTGCGCAGACGCGACATGGCAGAGGGCGTCTCTGAGTCTGGCTTTGGGCAAGCGGGGCAAGCGCGCTCTACACAAATTAATCGGCGAGGGATTAACACGCGGCGCGAAGGATTTACGTGCTAAGAGGTGGCTCAGGCGAGCGCTGTGCGGAGTTAATTGTGTTTGTGCATGCACAGTCTTAGGCGCGTATCACTGCACTTTAACCGAGAGTTTATATCGGGGGGGGGGGTGGGGAGCTGCGTGAAAACGCTTACATCGGTGCTTTTAACCGAAGCATGGCTTGTGGAAGAGAAGCTGAGGGATAGGCGCTGCCGAGTGAGAAGAGGCTGCTCGTGTGACGCCGGCACTGGGGAGATAAAGGTGGCTGGAGATGCGTGGTGCTGGTAATATAAGAGGTGCTCGGGAACAGCACTTAGGTCCAGAATACGTGTACAGCCCCTTTTTTTAATCCACTGCTGGATTAGGGCCTCCCTCATAGATGAGGCAGCATAGACGTGGGAGTATACTGTAGATGTGCAGGACGACAGATTCCTCTGCACCGCTGCTCACCACTTCCTGCCCAAATTAACTATGGGGGTGGCATTCATATCCATTGGCAAGCCTTAAGCCAACGGTGGCAATTCCACATTCTCGTTGTAGGAGCCATAATTTCCGTGGGACGACGTGCGATACGATGGCTCACAAAACGGTCCGAATTTAATACACCCCTGGAGGAAGGACGATGGGCTGAGTCAACTGCTGGCTGACATTTGAACTCTCGATTTCGAGCCAGGTGGCCCTGATCGGATACATGCGCAGCGGTGCGTGGGAAATGTACGGAACCTCCTCTGGCTCCTTCGCCTCCTACGCTGACCCTGTTGAGTCAGGTCACGCTATTACAATGTGAGTGCTACGGCATTCGAATAACAGCCCGCCGTTAATCCGGTTTTTCGCAACGGTGAATGGGTTTTTTGAGCATTGTCCTTGATCTTGTTCTCGCCACGGCGCTAAGCCTCGACAGGAAAGTGGCAATGCGGTCCTGTAACTGATGCCCAGGTAGAGGTATGGTGACTGACCTCAAGGCATTGATATGTGCCATATCCACACAGCTGAATGAAAAGCAATGTCTCCACACGTAATATGCGTCCGTCGGCGTGCGAATGCGTTAAGCAATCCATTTTTTTAGGACGTCTCGTGGCAAATTTTCAAGAGAGTTCCATGGTGGATTGCGCGGCAGAATGATATTTGAACGAGTGTCTTTATTTTGACTAACAGGAGCAAGCTCGTGCATGTGTGTATGTTGAACTTCTTTCGCACCATACGTAGCCAACCGTGCCCATCGGAGGTGTGGGGGAAGGACGTATGGGTTCGTGAACCCACTCGCAAATGCCCTAGCCACCACGCTGGCCAGCAGGTTATGGAGTTTTCACGAATATTTGTGCGATCCACCAACCCCCCGCACGAACTGCTCCTATTGCTCCATCTCCACGGCTGTCGTCCTCTCAGATGCGTTTGAATGCCATTCCGTCGGCAGTCTTGTCCATAAATCATCACCATCCCCAACAGCGCTGATGCATCGTGTCCAAGCCAACAGGCTACTTTCCTTCACAGTCAATGCATCCAATCTTCATTTGTTCCCTAAATCTATTTCTAATGAATACCACTTAAAATATGCCTCACATTTATCAGAACTGTAATTATAATGCTCAATTTATCTTAATGGGCTTCAACTCGTGCCTAAAACCTAATTTAACAGGCAGGTTATGTTACTAATTTTCGTGAAATATTTGCATATATTGTTGTTGTGTCTATTTTGTCGCCTTCCTTGCTACAAACCCTGCATGGCCCCTACATTTCCGTTGTTTAAGGGCTCATCGCTCCTCACGACCAAACCACTGACACTGAACGTGTTTTATGATTATCCGATCGCATAAAGCCATAGATTTAAACAAGTGAATTTTTTTTTATTTTATCAGGTAAGGTCCACTGAGCTACATTCCCCTTTTTCAGAAGTGACCTGGCTATCACAAATGATATCTCAACAAAGTGGCTTGTCACGTGGAGATTTATAGCGGCCAAATACTCTGAGCGTATGGTGATTTTAAATGTGGAGGGAAAAATCATAGGGTCCGGAAAAAAAGGCACGCAACCTCGGAGAGAGAGACATGCAAACTCCAAATATGCAGCAGGCGTCAGGGTCGGGATCAGGATCGAACCCATGACCTCCTGTATACCAGGCGAGGTAGTTAACATCCTGCCACCTTGGTGCCCAGATAAGCAGACAATGTCTCCCTCACATATCTGTCTCTCCACGTAAAAAAAAACTAATTTTACACAACTAATCACCCCAAAAATAATGTCACCAGCATTGATTCAGTTAAAGCAAACTGTGGATCGGTTTCGACACATGGTGTCTCATCAGCAGTCACGCCTGGCTTGAATCAATGCCGGTGAACTGCCAGATATTTATAGGCAAGGACCGTCTCTTTTAGCGAGGCCAAACGATAGAACACAAAACACAACATAATCAATAGTGTCGTTGTGGAGAACATCAGTAACAAGAGTGAAGCTATGGATTACATCACGTAAATGTGAATGTGTTGTTAAACCCGCCAACACACGGAACAGCCAATTAGTAAGGTTTGTCACGGAAACAAAACGTGCCAATTTGTTTACCACTTCAGCACGCCGGTGTGTTGCACAGTAAACCCACAACATTTACAATTCAAATACGACTTTTCACTGGTGATTACAACCAGCTTCATGAGGCTAATCACCGGCGAAACGTCGTAGTAGAATTGTCAATGTTGTGGATTTACTCTCCAACACAGTTTGTAACTAATTGGCACGTTTTGTTGACAGTGACAAACTCTTACTAATTGGTTGTGTCGGGTAGCGGTGGGTTTAACGACACATTTATATTTACACGACCTCACTCAAAAAGCCTTTGCTGTGGATATGGGTCGTGAAAGCCTACGTGTTAAACTGAAGCTATCATCACGATCTATGGGCAGATAGGCCGCAGGTGTTCTCTGCACATTCCATCATTTGTTTACACTTTCCTTCTGTCTTGTGGCAATATGCTCAAGAAGTGGCCAGATCTTTCTGGCACCAATCTCTTGTGATGTCGTCGTCAAGCCGTTCTGTGGGTGCCCTTCTACAACAGCAGCTTCGTATATGTGGTGCCTAACAAGCGCCATGACCTCGCCAACTTCGCCTGTGCTCAAGCGAAGATGGCGGTGTACAAGACGAGGAACAAGTTGCCGCAAGGTGACACTGACGGCTGCTCTGTGCTGCTTCCAGTGTTCAGGGGCCTGCTCAAGGCGCGGCTCCGGCTGGAGCACGCCATGTACCACACACACGTGTCGGTGATGTGCAGCGCGTCTTCTTCGAACGCTGGGGAGCCGGACAAGCCCCTCTCTGTACCAGCGTGGACGGCACCACCCCACGTGTTCACCTTCTGAAGCGCTCGCTCGTCACCGTGGCGTGCGCGATGACCACCACCACCACCACGTGACTTTTTTGTGTTGTGCGCGGCGTATCTAGCGCCACAGCGCGTGGTTTTTATTGTGTTTGTGGTATTGGCTGCCGGTGACTTTGTGTATTCCGTATCGGAATCGCCTCCAGTGCTGTTGCTGCTGGTGGCAATAAAAGTTGTTTAAAAAGTCTGTGAGGACTTCCTCTCTCTCCGGTTCCTTCCATTTTTTTCCCGAACAACAACACACTTTTAATTGTCATGTTGTAGTCCATCCTCCATGCATGTCCAAACAGCGCCCAGTCTCCTTCTCATCACTGCCTGCCTGCGCCATTACGGTTTGCCTTCTACGTGACAACCTTGTTGTTGCTGACTCCTATGTTGGTAGTCGCTCTTTGGGTCCCAGCTGAAGCTACGTTGGCCGCTGTCGAGAGAAACTGGGGCTCACGAGAGAAGCCTGCAGACGCGGCCACTTGCCCCCAACCCTACCCCACTGCTGCCCAACGGAGGGGGCCGCTCCTCTGCGGCCCCCTCGTGCCGAGCGGAGGGAGTGCGGCTCAATCGGCTGAGCCCAGAGGGGCTTGGGTGGCGTCTCGTCCGTTAACGCCGGGAACGCGGCCACACAAGGGGAGTAAAAACAGCCGCTCAGCCGCTCATTGTCGTGCAGGCGGCGAGATTGACGTCAGGTTGCTTGCGTGTGATTACGTGTACAGTATATCGTTGTTTTGTTGTTATTTGTGGGGAGCGGTAGCGGTTAGCGCGCTTCGCTATGAAGCCGGCAACCCCGGTTCGATGCCCCCGGTCACGGCCAACACCGGTGATGATTCATCTGAACCGGTCCTGGGCCTCCACCTAGAACCTGGTGCCGTGCATTAAACATTGCCACGAGGGAGACAAAGGCGGCCGGGCGTGGCGCCGGCCACCCACCCCCGCATGTGAAGTGCCGGCCTTCATAGGCGCTCGCTATCAGTGTTTGCCCCAACAGTCTGTTAAGGCAATATGGGGGATCTTTGTCTCTATTATTATGATTCGACTTATTTACCCAGGAAAGCCTCACCGAGTCTCAAGACTCCGTTTTCAAGAAGGTGCTGCCACGTTTTCGCAGCAGAGGGCGATGCTGCTGCTTCTGTGTGTGATCCCAATTGAGTAATTTTCAGATATACAGTATGTTGTTTTGCATCGGGTTGTCTTTGCTACATGAGGAAAGCCATGCAGAACAGGGGGAGAATACACAATCTCCATACAGACAGGTGCCCGAGTCAGACATCAAACTCAGTCCCTTCTTGCTGTGAGGTAGGGCTGAACGATTTGGGGAAAATGTATAATTGCGATTATTCCGACATATTGCGATTGCGATTTGATTTGCGATAAAACATTTTCAAGTCAAGCTTCAGTTCAATATTGACCGTGTAATAGATTTAAAACACGTGATGGAGCATTACCACGTGATACCATCAACATATGAACTGCTCTATATGTTTAATGCAAGGATGAGAACTTAAGATATATATGAATTTCTTCCAACATGTATTTATTGAAATGTTTTAATTGAAATAGAACAATCAAACATAGAACAATTTTTAAGTTAAATAAAGTTATAATAAAAAATAAAACAATTACAATAAGAAAGTAATAGGACTTTTTAAATCGCAATAAATCGCAGCCTTTGCGATTTGCTAATTGCATTTTTCAAATTGCGATTTCGATTTTGAAATCGATTAATCGTTCAGCCCTACTGTGAGGCACGGGGTTATTACCCCCCTCCCCCCCGCCGACAAATTAGAGGATTATGCTCTAAGCTCCGCCCAGATATATGCTTACTCCACTTGCTGTACTTCTATCTCCAGGGCCACCGCAGTTTCACAGCTGCGCTGGATCTACCAACTACTCCAGGCGCGCGTGGCAAACCACCACGCAAACTCCGGTCATCCTCGCAGCAGCAGCAGCGGCGGTGGCGGCAGCGGCGGCGGCAGCGGCGGCTTTTGGCTGGCCATCGAACAAAGGCGGTCACCGCATCGCGTGGCGCTTTCGGACGCACTTCTGCGGCCGTCTGGAACGCTCTTCCTTCCGATGTTAGGAAACAAACAATGCTATGAACTTTTACATCTGAATTGAAAGCGAATTTTTTTAACTGCTTTTTGTGTTTTTGTCCTTCCTCCACACCTCGGATTAGTACGGTTGGATACATACGTTGTGAAATAACTATGTATGCGTATAACTTCGAATGGAAAGTGTGCACACGATTGTGGAACGAGAGAATAACCTCAAGCAAGGTGGTGGCAGCGAAACTCTAAGAGGAGCGGTCTTTGAAGGACATTTTTCAACTGTGCCACAACTGAGAAAATGTACGTATCATTAGGAATCGAAAGCGTGGTGTGTCATTGACCGCAATGACCTCTTGGCCTAGCGTGCGAATTCCCGCGTGCACAAGTGTCATAGGATTGCTAACTCTTAGGTAGAAGAAGACTATCTCAAAATGCCAGAAGAGGGGAGAACTACAGTGTAAAGGCATTGTGTTTGGAATGTGTGCTGAATTATTAAGCAATGTCCCAGGAAGACGTACAGATTTCCCTGTACAGCGTCCAGTAAATATGGATCTTTGGTCCAACGGTTTCCCAACGTTGACACAATGATTCCAACCACATGCCAATGGTTAGTCCAACATTGGCATGTTTAGTTTATAAATGTTTATATAGTTTGTTTACTTGGCAGCTGCCTCAAACTATTTTATTTATCAAAGAAAGCTCACGAAGCTATTCGCTCTTTTTCAGAGGCTACCTGGCTACACGTGTTGGCTCATCGAAGTGGCTTTCTATCATCACACATGCGAATTCATAATAGCAGCCACGTAATATAAACGCACGTTTATAAACGTGGAGGCCAAAACCAGTGGACATGGAGAAAAATCCACACGACCACTTCGGGGAGAAAGAGAATACACAAACTCCAATTATACAACAAGCAAGCGCCATGGTCCAGGTTGACACCCACGACCTCCTGCGCACCGGGCGAGGGAGATAACATCTCCTCACCACAGTTTCAGTTGCATTTGTTTGGAATAACCCTGTGAGCCATTCGGCTCTTGATTCGGGTGCAACCGCAACAAACAATAAAATTACAAGATACATTTAAAATTTACTGTACGCAAATTTAAACATCCCCTACAAAAACTATGAAATCTTCCATAAAAAGCACCATTTGTTTATGCTGCGTACAAAAATGTGCAAAAAGTCCCATTTTGATGTTTGATCACAATAACAATCATAATACAATTTAGATTTTAAAAAAATGTGTCTAACTCTATACTACATCAAAAAATCGGGCTAAACTAAACCTTTCTAGAAATTACTAAAATAATGCTATAAAAACAATGTAACGCCCCAGAGGACAATCCTGGGAAAACCAGGACGGCTGGCAACCCTAAGCGCGTCCGTAGCCCGCGGACTTGGCACGCACCAGCATGGTGGCCACGTTGCTGGGGAAGGCGGTGGCCATGTAGAGGAAGCACATGGTGTCGGCGGAGGCCGTGCCGAAGCCGTCGAGGCAACGGATCACGATGCACAGGGTGATGAACGCCGTGCCGCTTGGAGCCTTGTCCAGCAGCCTGCGCGACACACAACGACCGGCACGGTGCGGTCACAACCGCGAGCCGCAGGAGGCCGCCCCGGATAATATTTAAAGCTGCTGCAGGCAGGCGCGTCAACCGTCAAAAGGTACGCGCCGTCATCTGCTTGCGGTGGACGCGCGGAATGCCTCGGTTGTCGGTTGATGTTGAGAGGAGGTGTCGTCGTCCAAAATTTGGCGAATGTGAAAAATGACACGCAAATGACCAATTTGGGAAAATGCATGGTGATGTCACCCCCCTCCCACCACGAACCCACCCCCACCCACCTCCCCGCTGCGAAACTTACCCTGCGGAAAATGAGTCTTGGGACTCGGTGAAGCTTTCCCGGGTGAGTAAATGTTACCAATAAAACAGTCACGTGTTCATGAAACTGCCTATGCACGTCGCAGGTGGTACAACTGCACCGAGGCCCATGGGCCCGAGGGGCCCCAGGTGCCGGAGAAAGGTAAAGGGGGAAGTGGCTGTCAGTGTGGCGGGTGGATGCCACCTGCCAACGAGCCTTGGCAATTGATGAGCATTTGGCAAAGAAACATAAATCGCACATGAAAATGTTTATTCGTCAAAGATACGAATCGGGCTCTTGGCATCTGCCAGCTCAAACAGGCAGTGGGGTGGTGGCGACACATCTTTGTTCTTTACACGCATGATTAACAAAAACTATATCTATCTTGACACACGGATAAACACCAAAAGGGTCTGTTTCTGCACCAATAGAGGGATCACACAGTAACGCCACGAGCATGTGCTGTATAGTTGATTGCTTTCAGGCAAGACGAAGCTCATTACAATTTTGCTTTCATACTCTGAGATAAAGTGGTTTCAGGTCTTAACCCTTTACCTCTCCAAAAGCACATTGTTGCTATGCGCACTGCCGTGGCTGGGCCTTCAGTGAATAGCGATGGCTCCAGAAAGCCATCCCCAATGGCATGGATTATGACCCGCGAAACAAAACCAGTCAAACAAATAATAATAATAAAGCCCGCTAATACACGAACAATAGAGTGAATAAATAATGAATTTCCTAAATTGCCGCGGATATTCAATTTAAAACATTTCACTATTTTTTTTTGCTATAATTAACATTACAGATTTGAAAATGAAAAGCATAAATAGTGCATAAACAGGGTGGAGCGGTGAGTGGCACGATGGTTAGCGCACTGCGCTGTGAACCCAATGATCCGAGTTGTACTTCAAGCTATGGCTCACATCGTTGGCGAGTGACGTCTAAACCGGCCCTAGGGCCTCACTGACCAGTTTGGTGAAGTATAGTCAAATGACCCCCCCCCCCCACGAACAAACACAGCGTGAGAGATTGGCCTTCATCAGTCGAACGACAAAGAGCTGTGAATTATTTATTATTAAATGCGTACATAAATAAAATAAAAAAACGATCATTGTTCTTTTGGGAGAGGTGCCAGGCCAACTGCAAATATTCCATTTCCAGGGGGGTGAAATTGCTTTGGTTGAAAATTGCACGGAAGTGAGTGACTGCACGAAAGCAAATAGCAAGGTGAGAAATAGCAAGACCAGAAGAAATGAAAGTTTAAAATCAGCATGCACACCCGAAAAAAACTGCCACATTGCCAGCGCTGCGTTTTTTTAAAAATGTCAACGGCCACGTGTGCATTGCCAGCAGCGTTCTAGAAATCCGGTGTGTGTGTGCATTGTGTTTGTATTGTGTGTACAATACGCGCACACACACAATGCGCACACCGAGCGGTGGCGCAGTGGTTAGCACATTCTGCTCCGACCCCGGCGACCCTAGTTCGATTCCCGCTCACGGCCAACACCAGTGACGATTATCTGAACGGGTCATGAGCCTCCCCTAAGTCGACTCAGCCTCAAATGAGTACTTGGTGTGGTGTGTAAGCATCGCCACTAGGGAGACAAAGGCGGCCGGGCGTGATGCTGGTCACTCATCCCCTCGTGTATGGTGCCGGCCTTCGTAGGTGCTCGCTAACAGCACTTGCCCCTACAGTCTGTTATGGTTATATGGGGGATCTTTGTCTTTTGTGGGTGGAATACACAATGTTATCAAAAGACAAGATGGAATGAGCCTCCTCGGTTGATGGCGCAATAAGGCTATATCGTGAGTTGAAATCGCAGCCAGGGAGCATTCAACCCATCATCATAATCATCAAAATTGTCAACATCGTCATCTTTAAGCCATGATAAGCATCATACATCCTTGATTGTCTCTCTCAACGTGAGCCTTGTCCTTTCCCAAAATAAACTATTAAACATTCTTCTTTATTTTACCAGGTAAGGCCCACTAAGCTGGAAACGACCTGGTCACAAATGATAGCTCACAGAAGTGGCTTATCAAGTGGAAATTGATAGCAGTAGCCAAATACTCTAAATGCACGTTTCCAAATGTGGAGGGAAAAACCGGAGGACGCGGAGAAAAATCCACGTGACCACGGGGAGAACATACAAACTGAAAATATACGGCTGGCGTCAGCGTCGGGATGGAATCCACGACCTCCTGTATACCAGGCGAGGTAGTTAACATCTCATCAGGGTCGGGATCGAATCCACGACCTCCTGTATACCAGGCGAGGTAGTTAACATCTCATCAGGGTCGGGTTGGAACCCACAACCTCCTGTATACCAGGCGAGGTAGTTAACATCTCATCAGGGTCGGGATCGAATCCACGACCTCCTGTATACCAAGCGAGGTAGTTAACATCTCATCAGGGTCGGGATCGAATCCACGACCTCCTGTATACCAGGCGAGGTAGTTAACATCTCATCAGGGTCGGGATGGAACCCACGACCTTCTGTATATCAGGCGAGGTAGTTAACATCTCATCAGGGTCGGGATCGAATCCACGACCTCCTGTATACCAAGCGAGGTAGTTAACATCTCATCAGGGTCGGGATGGAACCCACGACCTCCTGTATACTAGGCGAGGTAGTTAACATCTCATCAGGGTCGGGATCGAACCCACGACCTCCTGCATACCAGGCGAGGTAGTTAACATTTCATCAGGGTCGGGATCGAACCCACGACCTCCTGCATACCAGGCGAGGTAGTTAACATCTCATCAGGGTCGGGTTGGAACCCACGACCTCGTGTATACCAGGCGAGGTAGTTAACATCTCATCAGGGTCGGGATGGAACCCACGACCTCGTGTATACCAGGCGAGGTAGTTAACATCTCATCAGGGTCGGGATCGAACCCACGACCTCCTGTATACCAGGCGAGGTAGTTAACATGTCATCAGGGTCGGGATGGAATCCACGACCTCCTGTATACCAGGCGAGGTAGTTAACATCTCATCCGGGTCGGGATGGAATCCGCGACATCCTGTATACCAGGTGAGATAGTTAACATATCATCCGGGTCGGGATGGAATCCACGACCTCCTGTATACCAGGCGAGGTAGTTAACCTCTCATCAGGGTCGGGATGGAATCCACGACCTCCTGTATACCAGGCGAGGTAGTTAACCTCTCATCAGGGTCGGGATGGAATCCACGACCTCCTGTATACCAGGCGAGGTAGTTAACATCTCATCAGGGTCGGGATGGAACCCACGACCTCCTGTATATCAGGCGAGGTAGTTAACATCTCATCAGGGTCGGGATCGAATCCACGACCTCCTGTATACCAAGCGAGGTAGTTAACATCTCATCAGGGTCGGGATGGAACCCACGACCTCCTGTATACTAGGCGAGGTAGTTAACATCTCATCAGGGTCGGGATCGAACCCACGACCTCCTGCATACCAGGCGAGGTAGTTAACATCTCATCAGGGTCGGGATCGAACCCACGACCTCCTGCATACCAGGCGAGGTAGTTAACATCTCATCAGGGTCGGGTTGGAACCCACGACCTCGTGTATACCAGGCGAGGTAGTTAACATCTCATCAGGGTCGGGATCGAACCCACGACCTCCTGTATACCAGGCGAGGTAGTTAACATGTCATCAGGGTCGGGATGGAATCCACGACCTCCTGTATACCAGGCGAGGTAGTTAACATCTCATCCGGGTCGGGATGGAATCCGCGACATCCTGTATACCAGGTGAGATAGTTAACATATCATCCGGGTCGGGATGGAATCCACGACCTCCTGTATACCAGGCGAGGTAGTTAACCTCTCATCAGGGTCGGGATGGAATCCACGACCTCCTGTATACCAGGGGAGGTAGTTAACCTCTCATCAGGGTCGGGATGGAATCCACGACCTCCTGTATACCAGGCGAGGTAGTTAGCATCTCATCAGGGTCGGGATGGAACCCACGACCTCCTGTATACCAGGCGAGATAGTTAACATCTCATCCGGGTCAGGATGGAATCCACGACCTCCTGTATACCAGGCGAGGTAGTTAACCTCTTATCAGGGTCGGGATGGAATCCACGACCTCCTGTATACCAGGCGAGGAGTTAACATCTCATCAGGGTCGGGATGGAACCCACGACCTCCTGTATATCAGGCGAGGTAGTTAACATCTCATCAGGGTCGGGATCGAATCCACGACCTCCTGTATACCTAGCGACGTAGTTAACATCTCATCAGGGTCGGGATGGAACCCACGACCTCCTGTATACTAGGCGAGGTAGTTAACATCTCATCAGGGTCGGGATCGAACCCACGACCTCCTGCATACCAGGCGAGGTAGTTAACATCTCATCAGGGTCGGGATCGAACCCACGACCTCCTGCATACCAGGCGAGGTAGTTAACATCTCATCAGGGTCGGGATGGAACCCACGACCTCGTGTATACCAGGCGAGGTAGTTAACATCTCATCAGGGTCGGGATGGAACCCACGACCTCGTGTATACCAGGCGAGGTAGTTAACATCTCATCAGGGTCGGGATCGAACCCACGACCTCCTGTATACCAGGCGAGGTAGTTAACATGTCATCAGGGTCGGGATGGAATCCACGACCTCCTGTATACCAGGCGAGGTAGTTAACATCTCATCCGGGTCGGGATGGAATCCGCGACATCCTGTATACCAGGTGAGATAGTTAACATATCATCCAGGTCGGGATGGAATCCACGACCTCCTGTATACCAGGCGAGGTAGTTAGCATCTCATCAGGGTCGGGATGGAACCCACGACCTCCTGTATACCAGGCGAGGTAGTTAACATCTCATCCGGGTCAGGATGGAATCCACGACCTCCTGTATACCAGGCGAGGTAGTTAACCTCTTATCAGGGTCGGGATGGAATCCACGACCTCCTGTATACCAGGCGAGGAGTTAACATCTCATCAGGGTCGGGATGGAATCCACGACCTCCTGTACACCAGGCGAGGTAGTTAGCATCTCATCAGGGTCGGGATGGAACTCACGACCTCCTGTATACCAGGCGAGGTAGTTAACATCTCATCAGGGTCGGGATGGAACCCACGA